GAGAGAGAGAGAGAGAGAGAGAGATACATATAAGAGGATGAGGATTGGGGTTGTTTTCGTTATTTTGTACGTGCAACAAACTGTCTTCCAAGTGGACAACAAGTCGAAGGTCGACGCGGGGAAGGAGTTGTTACTGACGACAAGAGTTGGTGAGCACACAGGTATCATTAGCTGTATAACCCAGTCCACATCCAGGCGATCGATACCTAGCCCATATAGACGAGAAACACCTGGCGCCCCTTTGCAGTAGCAGCCGCCGATAGGACAATATATTATAATCTCACTGTGTGTTGACGCCGAACTTCAGGCAAGGGAAACAGGCAGGGGGCATTTTCCCCCCATAAGGCCTGGTGACGAGGGATACACGGTGTTTTACATACTACATGATACATACGCAGTGAGAGGTACACAGTGTTTTACATACTATTTATACATACGCAGTGAGAGGTACACAGTGTTTTACATTCTACATGCATACGCAGTGAGAATACAGTGTTTTACAGAATATACATACTCGGTGAGAGGTACACTCTTTAACATACTACATCCTACATACACAGTGAGAGGTACACCGTGTGAGTGTGTTCGCGTCCAAGCAAGCGTAGCGTAAACTCGTGAGTTTGGAGAACAAAATTATAACAAACGCAGATGTGACAGTGGACACTTCGTATGTTTGTTTTCAGAAGAACTTCAAGAAGAAACGGTTGGTGTTTTCCTCTTTCTTTCATAGAGAGAAAAACCGTGTGAGTGAAGTAATCAAAGTGTGAACAAATGTGCAGCGCTATATCGTTCCATATTATTACCTGCGGGTCTACGCGTCATAATAATAATTATTACTCAATTTACTACGGATTGTACGTGCTGTTTTCATCACGAGTCCTTCTGCGCTGAAATTTTCGGAGAGGACACACGGTCTGTTGCATAGAGCTCTCCATGCTATACACGTATTTCTGGTTGTTCTGTAAGTTTTCCGTTTCGTTTTGTTATTATTTCTTTGTTCATTAAAATTTTATTCGGAACCATTTAAAGTTACTGAGTTACCTGTGAGAATGTGTGTTGAGTACATGCGATTTATGTAGGCTTCATAATATAAT